CTCTCATATTCTTTTACTTTAAGTCAACTCTCTTAATGTTTCACTTTTGTCTACAATGATCTCTCACTACATGGCCCCAATCACGCTGCCTCAAGTATAATGCTCTGTTGTCACTCATAGTGTTCTCCTACCTCAAGGTCAAATCATGACTCCCTTGCCCCAGGACCAGGCCCTCTCTCTCTCTTAATAATCTCATATTTAATGAGTAATTTCAGATCAACTCCTTCCCAGAACTTGTGCTCTCCTCTCCTTAACAGGTATGCCGTATTCTTTCCCTCGGCATCTCTCTGTTAACCACTGTTTTCAAGATTCTTGTAAAAAATACCTCTTAATAAATCTCTAAATCTGATTCACAGTCTTACATTAAAATTCTTCTCGTTGATGAAGCTACAAATCCTGGTTTTGCCTTAAGGTAGGTCCCTGAGGAGAAAGGGCAACCTTGAGGCTACGGCAGAGAATGAGGCGGAGGTAGTCTCTATGTCTGCACTCATGGCACTCCTACTTGAAGAAGCCAGACCAACAGAATTTCTGCAAAGCCTTTGAGGAACTTTAGTGTCAGGATCCCTATGGAGACTTTGCTGGCTAGAGAATTCAAAGCTGACTAAAACTGCTCTGAGTTTTCCACAGAGAAAGGTAGAGTTTTACCCTGGAAAGTCACAGAAGCACTGGTCAAATTCACCCCTGGTCTCCTACTTTAGAAAACAGTATTTCTAAGTCCTCTGTTCCTTTTCTCTTTGTTTCTGAGAACCTATAATAAAATGACAATTAAAAAATTGTGCACAATTACTGATATTTTCAATTTTAAAAAATCCATTCAATAACTCTTTAAGTTCGCTTCAAAATAACCTAAATGGAGGACTGGAGAGATGGCTCAGCACTTAGGAGCACTGGCTGTTCTTGTGGAAGACCCAGGTTCGATTCCTAGCACCCATATGTGAGCTGACAGCCATCCATAATTCTAGTTCCAGGGGATCCAAAGCCCTCTTTTGACTTCAGCAGGCATTGCATGACATTGGTGCACTTACACATACGCAGGCAATACACTTATACACATAAAATAAAAAATTAATTAATTAATTAATTAATTAAATAAGTAAGTAAATAAGTAAACCCTAAATGGGAGCCTGGATGAGTGAGAAAGGACAAAGATAAACTTATTAGACCTTTTGTGAATAACTATTGAAGTTCTATTGTAGGCAAGTAAGTGTTCTCTCTACTTCCATTTGTTTGAAACTCTTCACATTGAAACAATGGAAAATTTCATATCCTCCTCTGGGGGACGAGGGGAGGAGGCAGAATCCATGTTTAATAAGTGTAGATGATCAATACCTTGCTCCAGATGACTTCAAGGTTGCTGAAGAAATTTTCCTTTTGGTATGCTTGTGTTTTAAGGCATTGCTTTTTCTTTAATTACTACCTAATCACATACATAGGTCTCCTAGACCAGCACAGCTTCATGGGCAGTCATACAGGCTCCATACCATAAAGAGGTTTGGTTTTATCACTCTGCTATCAACATCTTGAAATTCTTTTTTTCTTTTTTGGTTTTTTTGAGACAAGGTCTCCCTGACATCCCAGCTGGACTGGAACTTGCTATGTAGACCAGGCTGGCCTCTATCTCACAGAGATCCACCTGCCTCTGCTTCTCAAGTGCTGAGATTAAAGGCCTGCGCCATCATGCCTGGCCCAACATCTTGAAACTCTTAATTTTTTTTGTAAACAAAGCTTCCGCTCTTGTACCTTGTGCTGGGTCCCACAAGTGAACCCTTCACCTCTGCCTATGCTCACTTTTTCCTTTCCTTGGGAATTTCACCATCTGAGCCTGAAAAACTTCGGCCTCTAAAACCAATTTTAAGAAATTCCCAACATCTCTACTCCTGGTTCCAAACAAAATTCCTTCAATTCTTACATTTTGCTACTTACCAGATTAACAAAAATTTCTGTCTCTTCAATATTCTACTACAGAGACAACTTGCTCAGGCATGTTTGTTATTGCTCTTTTCACAATAGCTAGGAAATGAAAACAACCTAAATGTCCCTTAACCAATGAATGGATAATGAAAATGTGATACATTTACACTATGGAGTTCTACTCAGCGATAAAGAAAGATGAAATCATGAAACTTGTAGGTAAATGAATGGAACTAGAAACTGTTAAACTGAGCTTATCAAAACTCAGAAAACCAAGTGACTCATTTGGGGATCCTAGCTCCAAATTCTTAGATACAAGTGTATCTCTCACCACTCATTAAAGAAGCTTCTCTTTGCAACAGATGGATACTATTACCAAGTTCCACACTGGTCAAACATAGAGAATAAGTGACTGAGGTGCCCAGCCCTAAGTGACACATCAACAATTCAACCTCTACACCTAAGTCTCAGGGAGTATCAGAGAAGAGGGAACAGAAAGAATGTAAGAGCCAGAGGGACAAGATACCTGCTGCTACTTGATGCATTCTAGACATGATAGGGAAGCTACACCAACAAAATCTCCACAATATAGTAGTCTAGCGAGATAGGCATAATGACAAAACTAGTTGATATGCCAAGGTAGATGGGGGAAATGTCATGGGATTCCACCTCAAGATGAAGAGCTACAGGCAATCAATGGATGTTGAGGGAGGGAGAAGCAGTTTTCTCCAGGGACTAGCTCCCTAAGAGGTTATCTAACCCCAAATGGGCAGCCCTAAACACAGGTACACATGAGCACCACTGAATGGACTCACTGCATTATAGATATAGACAGATTAGATAGATAGATAGATAGATAGATAGATAGATAGATAGATGATAGATAGATAGATAGAATAGATAGATAGATAGATAGATAGATAGATAGAAGATGATAGACATATGATAGACAGACAGACAGACAGACAGATAGATAGATAGATAGATAGATGATATAGATGACAGATTTAATAATAAAAGAAGAGGACAAGAAACTGAGAGGGAATTGGGGGACATGGGAGGAGCTGGTGGGGAACTGAGAGGGACGGAAATAATGCAAAGACAACACTCATGAAATTTTAAAAATAAGAAGAAAAAGCACTGGAAGATTTTAGAATGACTATCTCACATTATAATAAAAGGTTTCAGCAAGAGCAAAACATTCCTTAGAAAAGATCATCCATGTTACGACTATTCTGAAAACTGTGACTGCTTTTCACCATAACTAAAGGTGACCAAACTAAAACATTGTGAACCTGATAGGAATAAATGCAGTGTATTTAATAACATTCAATCTTTAGGAATTAAAATAACATAAAACCTGTGGGGTCGCTCCCTCTCCTCGTGGGTCGTTGGCCACTGGTCCACGAGGACAAAGGGAGCAGAAGCGACGAGCAGGGTCAGGATGGCCAGTGAGCACTGATGGAAGAAAGCCCTTCCAGGCAGGCAGGTTCAGTGATGCAAACAGCTCCAGACTCAGTGAAACAGCTCTGTTTATTCAGTGGAAGAACTAAGGAAAATATAGTGTGGAGGCAGTAGCCAATGCCTCAGCTGATAGGTGCTCATAGTATGCTTTATTTACATGTGGCAGTGGGCTCCTATCATCTGACTGTTGGGCAATGCCTGATTATCATATAGAAAAAACCTGGGGGGTAGTTTTTACTCCAGGTAACTATGCCAAAGGTCATGTTCCAAATAAGGTCAGGCATCCATGCTTGGTGGCACTTTCCAGGTAAGTCAGGAAGAGAGCAGGAGGCCCCCTGCTGAAAAGGGGAGTCCTTCCATTTGGTGCCAAGCCCCTTAGAGCTATCTGGACATGGAGGACTACAACTCTAACAGCAGTGTTTCCCAACAAAAACCCATCTAGCAATGAAATTACAGTGATCTTTTGAAATCTTTTGAAGGATTTGTTTGCTTCAGACTCTAACCATCAGGCTTAACATGATCCTGTGTCCCTAGGTAAAATATTCTTGGACTTCTGTATACATTTTTCTGTTTGTATCAGAAACAAAATTAATTTGAATAAATAAGTAATCCTATGATGTGATGGTATGGCAACTTTATACTGTCAAATAAAGAAAAATCTGTAAATTATTTTAAAAGTATCTCTTTGATGGAATATATATAATTTATAAAAGATCTATAATATTAGCCCAGCACAGCACAGACTCCTTTGCGTTTGTTGGTATCACAGGGGAAACCACACAGACAGTTCTATCATAATTTCATCCCACTACCACCCTTAGAACAGATTTCTATGAAAGAATCAGGAATCTAGAAAAACATCATGTTCCAGTCTGCCTTTCTGATAGGTTAACAGTATTTTATGTTTCATAAATATTGTAAATAGGAAAGGGACTACTTGGGAAAAAGAAGGTTTCAGTGTGAGTGTATGTTTAGGGACTAGAGAGATGCCTCAGTGGTTAAGAGCACTGACTGTTCTTGCAGAGGACCTAGGTTCTGTTCCCAAAATACACATGGTGGCTAACAACTTTCTGTAACTCCAAATACCAGGGGCTGATTGAGCCAAAAAAAAAAAATGTCCTTTCGGAAGATCTACTCTTCCTTGACCCTGTCTCTATGTTAGTACACCTCTGCATGGCCTCAGCATCTGAGGAAAGTCGCAGGGGTTTCTTTATCCTCCTGGTGGATTTGGACAGTTATGAATAATTTATAGGCTTAACTTTAGCCTTCCTAATGATAAAGAAAACTAAATTTAATTGAGAAAAACTCAAAGCAGGTTGCCTAAGTAAACAGTCCCTGCTTATCTGAAAAAAACAGCCTCTAGTTTATCTAAGGATACCAGACCTCCTGCTCAGTTAAGAAAATGATTGTATGTGTAATTTCTGCTTCTGCTTCTGTAGATATGTTTCCGCTTTTGGAATTCTAGTTCCCCCTCTTCCTCCTCCTTCACCCCACCCCAGCCATAGGCCAGAGATCGCTGTGCATGGCTCCAGTCTATCTATCACTGAGGGCCCATTTAGGACCTTGATTGGAACCCCCTGCTGGCCAGTGAGGCGGTTAGCATTTTCTCCTTTTCCCCTGGACATATAATAATCATTTCCCATCTGGACAGCATATTCTATTACCCTTTGTTTCTCGAGTGCAGTCAACATTTGTTCTCAGAATAACATCACATCTTTCCAGGTCAAGCCGTAAAGCTGGGTAGTCATTTCAAAAGTTTGTACATACTGATCCAGACTGTTGGTGTAGCTTCCTAGATTCCGCTTTATCTCTTTTAGCTCTGATAAGCAAAAGTAGACATAAACTAATTCTGGCCAGAATTCTCTCCACCAGACAGCTCCTATTAGAGGAAAATTCCTGGGGCTAGAAGAGAGGCAGCATTGTGATTAGTCGGGATTGGCTCTCCTGGGTAAGTGGGGAAGGGATCCCCTGAAGATGGGAGGCTACTGGAGAACTAGGAGGCCTGGAGAAAGAGCTAAAGTCCTTGCAGGGGGGCGCAGATTGTTTCCAGAGAACTACTCAGAAGGAACAGGTAGCTTCTTGTCAGAGGGTGTGGCCCCTACCAAAGGTTCCTTCTTATCCTTGCTTAGTCTGGGTTTGGGCAATCATCCTACATAACTGAACCAGTTTGGATTGATCTCTTAGATAAAAGAAAAGTTGGACATAGAGAATTTCAGCCTATTTTCCTTTTTTCTTATAGAACAGATCTAACTGAAGAATGATATTATAATGGAGGCTGCCCTCTTATGGCCAGGATTTCTCATTACCTAGGGGACCATGTTTGAGTTAAATAGAATATGAGAAATTTCTTGAGTCTCTGAGGTTCCAGTTTATCCCAGTTTTTCAGGAGGCAGGATAGCAGGGTGCCCTCAGAAATCTTGGATAAATTCCTCTGCATCTGTAAGTGAAAGTGGCATGTGAGAATTTGGGTGGAAGCCACCTTATCCTCCTCCACACTCTCAGCCCTCTGCCAGGAGGGGTGCCTGGGGACTAAGAAAAAGAGGACTTGCATGGTCCATTGACCCATTATCCTGGTCAGTGGTACTTTTGCTTGTATCCAAGATATCTCTGGCATCCCCATTCCCCAAAGAAAAGTAACTTTTGCACAAGTGGTTGTACAAGAGCTAAGATGGCTAGCCTCTCAAAGAAGGGAACTTTCCTTATGGTACTGTCTGGCTTGAGGAAGACCAATGTGCACCAGACTAGAGGGGTTGAGCCCCACTGGACTTCAAAGAGCAAGCAGAGAGGTGGCTGCCCAGCAGAAATTCTCCTTATTCCCTCATTCTATTCATAAGCTCATTTGCCTTTTTTACTTCAATATAGGGTTAATGAGGGGGGCATGATGGGCCAAATGGCCTAGAAAAGACAGCTATTAAGTCAATCACAGAAGAGAGAACAAAAAGAACAAGGGAGCTTAAGAGGGTACAAATGGTATAAACAAGTAAAAAGGAAGTTAGCCTCAACGGTTATTGCTTCTGCCCAGACCCCCCTAAAGAGAGCAGGGAAAATGAATTCTCCCACATATCTTCCCAAGAAAGGGAACTAATACAGAAAAGAGAAGAAAAAATACCAACCTTCAGGTTCAGCTGTTGTAGCCATGGCAGGAGAAGACACTCCCCGCGACCCCAGTCTAGGATACCTTAAAGAGTTACCAGCAAACACAGCTGTGGTTTTCAATTCTTCCCTGGTTTGGCTTCACAAACACTGACCTTGAGAATCACAGAGCAGGCCCACAAAATGATGCCATCTAGTGGTGCAGAAATGGGGTTCTTTTTCTCTGCCTAGTAAGGAATTAAGAGGCAGGAAGGTTTGTAAGACCAGACTTTATTAATATAAGCAGTTAGTTGTAAGCAAGAAAGCAGACCTCTTGTTAATGAAAAGGGGACCCAGAAACAAGATGTCTGTTTTTCTCCCCAAAGGTTTTGGGTTTTCATTTTGGGTGAGGGATCTGCTTAGCAATGGAGTAAGCATTTCCTGTGTCTCTTTGTGATTAGTGTTTGAGTGGAATCAGCTGGAAGGGCTGATTTACAGCCTGGATCAGACTGTGCATGCCTAGGGCAAACCAGTGACTGTGCATGTCTGGGACCAGTCAACTGATCATGCACGTTAGAGGCAAGCCTGAGAAGGAACTCATATTTTTTTACACTCAGGGAAAAACTAGTAAGTGGGAAGTAGGAACTGGGTGCTGCTCTCAGTATCCTAGGACATACCATGGTGGGATTGCATTTACCCGGGACTCTTTTTCCCTTCCTGTATTCCCATGAAAAGAACTGAGTTCTAATAACCGCATAGCCACTATATAAAAAGCTTAAACAGGACTAACCAAATAACCATACAACTAGGCCTAGAGGAAGAGAACTCAACTAAGATCCTAAAGACAGTTTTAAACCAAGTGTCTGCCATATGGCATCTAAGCTGTAAACTTCCTTTCTTCCTTTTTTAGCATGAGAAAGAAGGGAATACATTACTCATTCTGACTCAGAAACATGAGGAGAGACACAGGCCCTGAGGTACCTTGGTCAGCAGTTTGACCCAGTAGCCAGAAGACATCCTCCCTACATGACAGCCATCTCTGTCACTGCTGTTTCAATGAAAACAGCAAAAGAAGACTCTTTAGGCTCCCCTCTCACCATTTATGCCCCTGTTCTATAGAACTTTTGCTTCCCATTATGCCCAGCGTTCCTTAGGGAGCTCTCTACTTCTTATGAGATACTTCTGGTTTCATCTCCACATGTTTTCCTGGTGCACTGCGTCTCTCTTAGTTATGTTGCCTTGATCCCTTTACCAGATGAATTAGAAAATAATAAACATGGCTGTACAAATAGCATATGCTTCTTTCTCCTAGGAGAGACCTGTTGGAAACATCTATCAAAAATGCAGAATTCAGCCAGGTATGATGATGCAAGCCTTTAATCCCAGCACTTGGGAGGCAGAAAAGGGTGGATCTCTGTGAGTTTGAGGCCAGCCTGGTCTATATACTGAGTTCCAAGCCAACCAGGGCTACAAAATAAAATCTGTATAAGAAGAGAGAGGCAGAGACAGAGAGACAGAGACAAAGAAAGACAGAGAGATATAAAGGAAGGAAGAGAGGGAGGGAGGGAGGAAGGAAGGGAGGGAGGGAGGAAGGAAGGAAAAAGGGAAGGAGAAAATACAGAATTGGCTGTATTTACTGATGATTCTTATTTATGAAGTAAAGAAAGACACTTTCAGGAAGGATATGCAGTTGTATCGTCTCTTGATATAATGAAGAATGTTCATTTGCCTGGAATTAAATCTGCTCAAATGACTGAATTCATAGCCCTAAACTAGAGTATGCTGTTTAGCAGAAAACAAACACTTAACATTTATATAAAGAATCACTACACATGTGTAGTGCTGCATGACTGCATGCTATAGAAATAGAAAAGTTTTCTTACTTTTTCTGGCTATTCTATTCAAAATAATCAACAAATTCAGAATTAGTAGAAGCTATTCATTTCCTAAAATAATTAGACAAAATTAAAATCTCAGAACATTCTGAAATAAACAGTGAAGAAGTAAAAGATAATCATTTGATAAAGGAGCAAAAAGAACTGCACTATTTGGAACCGCATGCCCTGGAAGACCTGTCCTATTTATTACGCCCACTCTGTGTCTAAGGTCCTCCTTCGGGCTTAGCAGATGATGCCACAACAAGAAAAGGCATCTGACCCAGTGCAGTGATGCGTGCCTTTGATCACAGCACTCTGGAGGCAGAGGCAGGCAGATCTCTATGCGATTGAGACTAGTCTGGTCTACATAGTGAATTCCAGGACAGCTGGGGTATGGCATCAAATTGTCCTCCGAATGTCAAGCTTGGTTGAACCCACTTGCTTAGGATCACCACCAAAAAAATCTAACTGTTGACACTGCATGAGAAGGGTGAAGTCACACTTTCCAACCAATCAGTCAGTTTGAGTTGCACTAGGAGAAAGGAGTAAGAGCACCTGGGGGGCGGTGCCCTTGCTGTTTTGGACAGCTGTTGGAAAGTCAATCCATGCTGGAATTGGGGAGGGGGGGAACCACCCACACTTCTGAAAGTAACCCCTCACACATTGCTCTGTATGGAAGCTCAATAAACTCTTTAGTTTCCCAAACTGTAGTTTGGAGAAATTAGACCTCAGTTTGTTATAAAGATGGTGGAAGGAGAGGGCTGGATAGCATTTGTGCCTCCTAGAAGGAATTTTAGCAACATAGGGCCATAGGGAGACCCTGTCTCAAAAAATTGTCAAAGTTAACTGAAGCTTTCAGCCTCGTAAATCTTAGATCTGTCTATTCCTTTTGGAAAACATCAGTTACACATGTGGGAAATAGTCACTGGATGTCCTAAGAGAATGAATAGGGATTATATGAGCTAAAGGGAGATATTTTGCACCATTATAGAGATTTATGGAAGTGATAATTTAAAATTCAATATTGTTTGCAGAATCTTTCTCCAGTAAGCTTCCAGGAGATGAAGAATGGAATGAACTAAAACCAGGTGATTTTGTCTCTAGGAAAAGACCCTTCATCAAGGACTTCCTTCAATATCATTGTAAAAGACCTTATCAGGTACATTTAACTGCCTCCTATGCTGCAAAGATTTAGAGGGTAAATTTCATATTCCCTACCTCAAATGTACACCAACCCCTGAGGACAAATAAATGTGAGTTTCAGAAAGGTGGGATGATCTCACCTTTGACTGTGTCTTCAATTCAAAAACAAAGTAATTGAACTCAATAACCTAGCGCGCGCACACATGTACGTACACACACGCACACACACACACACACACACATCTAGAAATTTTCTGAGAAATGAATATTTTACTTCAGTATATCTCCTTCGGTGATAGAAGTAGTATTGGTGTTAAAGACTTTAATAATACTATGCCCTTTTTTAACCATGCTTCCGTTATGTCTACATACTTACCAAATCTCCCATGTAACTTCAATCAAATGACGTTATACCAATAGAATCAAACTGGCCAGAAGAAAATCTAGAGTTAAAAGAGCTATTTCAAGTGCATTAGATAAAATGTTTCATGAAGTGCAAATGACTATAGACCGGGGGAGAAAACATGTAATCCTTCTTGTTAAGGAGTTTGACTCATGTGGAGGATCTTTGGTTGGTTAGGACGCCTGCTTTCCTCATCTGCAATCTTCACTTCATTAGACCAGACTATATTCTTGATTACTCTGATTTTAAGTGCAAGTCCAAATAGTTAGTATAATATTATATTTCTCATGTAAATGTTATGTCAGATGCAGAAAACAAAAAAGAAACAGAAGTCATACCCAGGTCATGATGGTTAATAGTTCTGATATGTTCCAGGAGTTTCTTCTTTAATGCTTTTTCTAGCTATTCCTCTCTCCTGAAGACTGCTGTCCTGCCTACTACTCAGCCTCATCTACATCAGATCCTAGGAATTAACTTTCCTAGCTGTGAGGGACATTAAATGATATTTTTAAATAACACATGGGCCCTGTATGCACAAAAAGTGATACTTCGCCAAAAGGGATACTGTGAATGAAAGTTCCTACAAAGAAGCCACATCTTCCCCCTGAACTTTCTACAAATCTGATTAATCAATTAGAACTTCAAAGACTGAGTTGGCATTTTGAAGGTCTAGAGCCTAATTAAAAATTTTCTTTGGCTAGCTTGTCCATTCCTTTCCCACTTCTGTGTCTGATCTAAAATCCTTGTGGGTATCAGATGAAGCCTTCTGAAATTAACTTAGCTCCAGCATCTTACTTCTTCCTTATTCATAGAATAGAAGGAGTATGTTAGATAGCTCCTCTCTGCTGTGACAAGCAGAGAGTAAAATAGTGTAAGAAGGGGTAATTTGTTTTAGCTCATGATTTCAGATGTTACCTCCAGTATGATGGCAAGGCTGTAAGCAGAAAACAGCTGAGGGAGGCATGGCGACAGAGGTGGCTGGAGGAGGAGTGGAAGCTAAGCTCTCACATCCTCAAGCAGGCACAGGAATCGAGAGAGTAACTCAAGATCCAGCAAGGCTAAAGACCTCTCTAAGCCACCTCCAATGTTGTGCTTCCTCCAGCATAGACACACCTTCTCAGACCTCCCAAAACAGTGCCACTAACGGGACAAAATGTCCAAATACTTGGAGCCTATTGGGGACAGTCTCATTCAAACTATCACATGTACTAATTTACATTTATACCAACAGTGTGTACATCTTCTTTTCATTCCCTGCTCCCTTAGCAGCATTTACAGTGACTTCTTTCCTTGATGATTGCTATTTTGACAGGGGTAAGATGGAATCTCAGTGCAGTTTTAATTTTCTTTTCCATTACGGGTAAAAAAAAGAATGAATACATTTTCATGTATTTCTTGGCCATTGTACTTCTGCCTTGAGAAATGTCTATTCAGTTCATTTGTTCATTTAGTGATTCGATTGGGTCTTTTATGTTTAAGTTTTGAGTTCCTTATAAGCTTTACATTTTAATGCCTGCTGAGATCAACAGTTGGCAAAGATTTCTCTCATTCAGTAGGCGTTGTCCTCTCTACTAATCCTTACATTTGCTGCGCAAAAGCTTTATAATTTCATGCGATCTGTTGTCAATTAATTTTTCTTCCAGCAGTTTCGAAGTTTCCAGTCCTACATTAATGCATTCAGTCCTTCTAAAATTTATTTCTTTTTAAGAAACATTTTATTTAGTATTTTTTATTACTTAATGTGTACAAGTGTTTTGTATGTATGTAAGTGCACCCATGTCATAGATGCCCAAGGAGGTCAGAAGATGGTTTCAGATCCCCTAGAACTGGAGTTACAGGCTGGAATTACAGTAACTGGAGTTACTGGAGGTAGCTGCCATGTGGATGCTGGGACTCAAATCCAGGTCCTCTGCAAGAGCAGCCAATGATCTTAACTGCTGATCCATCTCTCCAGCCCCTTAAAATTTATTTTTGTAGAGCATGAAAGGTAGATCTTGAATCTCATCCTTCTACATTTTAAACTCTGTACAGAGACTATGTTCTGGTATCAAGTCAAAGAGATTCAGTCTTCGGAGAACAAGGGATTCCTCTGTCCAAGTCAACCACAAAAGCACATTCACAGTCCAATGATATTTTGGATTCAGTGACCAACTACTGGAATAAGATTTAAATAGACAGATTCCTACTTTCTATTTGACTCCAAACTTACCTAGCCCTCCCCGCTAAGTGGTGGGACTGCTGTACAGCTGTGCCTTCCATCCTTGACATCCAAGTTGTCAGTGTATCAGATTGCTCATTTTCTAATGCTTTACCCAATATAGGATCTTAAAGAAGGAATTTCAAACTTCACACTTCAGCTTCAAACATAACAAAAGCAAAATCTCAGGAATATCTGGCTTCCTGATTGTGGAATACTAGGCATAACCTGGTAAGAAATGGGCAACTTTGGGGTGCCAAGTCTTAGGTGACTCTTTTTGACCAAAGGGAATCTCAGCTCCATAAATGAATATAGAAATATCTGTCTCATCATACAATCTACCTGGAAGGCTACAGTAGCTGTATGAATGAAGATTCCAGAGAGAAATTGTACCTGTAACTGAACCTTATGCAAGCCTGATTAACTGACTGAAACTTAAATTAACTATGGAGAGATTGGAATGTTGCAAGTCCAGAGCCTAATTACAATTTATCAGATATCACCTGAGGCCTGTAGCTGAAATTTCTCTACTTTGCTGTAATTACCTACTTAATGTTTCTACCAATGTACTAAAAAAAGGTGTTTTGTTATGACTTTCTTTTTTCTGTTACTATAAAAACTTCATCAAACTATTTACATGTTGGAACATGGAATTTGGGGCAACTTAAATCTGTAGTCCCAGACTATGGGACTCAGATTTGGCACCAAAATAAACCATTTCTTATCATCTGTGAGGTGAGAGTTGTGGGTTTTTCAATGACAGATTCTAGAGAGGCACAAAGTAAAGCCTCAAATCCCTTTCAGAAATGGTCCTCCAAGACCAGGGAACCCTAGCTATCCTTTCTGTGGAAGCAGGATGCATATGTTCTTTCCTTTTAAAATCTGTTGTTTGTGGGTTAATACTTCAGAAGAAGTAGAAGAAAATCTTTTTTTAAAAAACTAACAATAAACTACTCAAGAGACTAGATCAAAATTAGGTATGGACATCCTGGTTGGAAAGTTCATAGGTAGCTTTTTCAAATGAATTGGTATTCTCCTAGTTCCCATAGCCCCTTTATTCTTGCTTTCAATTTTGTTCAGTATCTTCATGTCCTGCTTGCTTGACTGTCTGGTATAATTGGTATCTCAAAATTACATACCATTAAGCTCTAGATGGTATTGCCTTATGGATATCAAACATTGCTATCAATGCCAATACTTGACTCCCACCACCAAAGACCTCTGAACCTCCAAGTGAAAGGGAAGTCTGGTTTTCAATATTCTACAAATACTCTTCTTTCGTAAAATGCAATTCAAGCCTTTTATGCTTAACAGCCTTATGGCCCTATGTTTAATCAATGCCAACTGGAGCCCTTAAATGTTCCTTCTCAGTCAGCTCTTAAGAAATTCCAGAGCAAAAGAGGCCTTCATCCTTTGTCAATGATCTGACAGGGGAAAATGTAGAGGAAAAAAAGGCCAAAAATTGGCCTAATGGCTCACAATTGTACCCTAACTGGTGGAACTTGATCCAGTGACTTTTGATACATTATCCAAATACCTACAGCCTAGCACCTAATGACTACAGGTGTCTTACCCCAAATATGACCAGCCTCAGGAATGACACAATGTCATAAAATGTACTACCTAACAAGATAGTGAAATACTGATTTTTTTTTTTTTTGAGACAAGTCTCCCTATGACCCTAGCTGGCCTGGGACTTGCTATGTCCCAGGTTGGCCTCAATCTCATAAGTACTTACCTCCCTCTTCCTCCTGAATGCTAGGATTAAAGGTATGTACCACCACGTCCAGCTTTGAATTTTAATCTATTCAAATACAAACTCAAAAAAATAACCCATGAAATAAGACCAAGTGACTGATCATAACTTCTGTAAAAGTACCCCATTCCTTCTCAGCTGTGTAACTTTCACTATCTTGAGAATTTGTCCTTCCACAGCTTCTATCTTTACTTTTTGCTCCTTGCCCTCCTAGGTCGATTAGTTCCAGGGGACTATGAGCATCTCTCAAAATATCCTATAATGGTGGTGGGTCACCTGTCCTCTTGATCAAGGAGGCTGAGGAGACCCCATGAGATGGACTTGAACCAGTGTCCAGTCTACAAAGAGGAGGGTCAAAACAGAGGAATCATTTCCTCCATGCTTCCAAGCGAAGCCAACCATGGTCGAGCAGGACCTTTGACTTATCTTCACATAGGCGGAACTAGTAAAAGAAAGGAGCCAGAGGCTCCTCCCAAGCCCATGTGACCCCAAGGAATCGATCCTCAAATGACCTTAAGAGTAAAAGTAAATCGGTTTATCAAAACTTTTATATCAGTTCTGGTCTGGTAAATACTTTTACCCTATACCTTGACTCATTCCCAGTACAACAGCAAAGAGAGCACAGACTTAGAGTAGGTTTTCTCATGTTTTAGGAAGGTTCTCCTACATTGGAAAACATAAATATGTTATATGCAGACCCCTGCTCCCAACAGCCAATGG